GCTTCATCACTGTGTCTGTCACGCGACTCTGTTGCCCTTTCGGGCTTGAACTGATGGTAAAACTAACGACATTTAATAACTGTTTTGATATTTACTTTGAAAGCTGACGCTCGCGATTATGATAAGGGGCGTTACATTTCCGATGCGTGCTTGTGGTGTTCGGCCAATCACAATGCACTGGGTCAGCTGGCCAATCAGAGCAGACTGCGCTTGTCAAAGGAGGGGGCTTTGTTGAAAACGACGTGTTTGAGAGAGGCGGGGCATAGAGGACCTACAATAATGTACAGTATTTGAAAAAGAATGTGTTTTTTGAACATTAAAGCATGTCAACATATTCTGTTACACCAAATACACAAAATAATGATCTTTAAAATAGCATCATATGACCCCTTTAAAATATCGCAATAACAGTACACAGTATATATATTGTATACATTAACCAAATTTCCCAAGACCACTGGAGCACTGAAGCTTTTTTTTTTTACCATTTTAAGCCATCTTGATACCCACTTTGCTGAGGCATGCTTGTGTCTCCAAGTGGTCCTGGCCCCTTAACTATCTTCAGAACCAATCAGTACCCCTCTCAGCGTTAGCCTATTTGGACTAACTGAAGCTGCTCTTCACAGAGTCAAGCAATAACCAGAAGCTCATGCTGGAATATGAGAAATACCAGGAGCTACAACTGAAGCTTCATAAAGTTCAGCAGGAATATGAGCAGCAGCTGCACAGTGTGGAGGAGAGCAAGACCCGAGCCCTGGAGGAGATGATGCAGTCTTATGAGGCCAAGCTGGAGGAGAAAATGATGCTGGTCACCCAGGTAAAGTCAACTGCGAAACAAGTTACCAATGCTTAGCAAATAAAAATTCTGTCATTTACTCAATCTCATGTTCCAAACCAGTATTACTTCTGTGAAACACAAAAGGAGACGCTGAATCATTTACTGGCCACTCTGTTCATACATGTTTGTCTCTACATATCAAAAATAATAATTTGATGACAAAATAATAATTTGAAAACAGAATATTTAATTATTTTCTTTCCAACTTGCAGTATCAGGATGAATCCCAGCAGAAGGTTCGGGAATTTGATGAATACATAAAGCAGGAGGAAGAGGACGCAGATATGGAAATCCATGAGATCCGCATTAAATATGAGCAAAATCTTAAAGAAGAAAAAAAGGCCAACACTAGGCTCAAAGTGGAACTAGATACCACAACAAAGCAGGTCACTATAATTCATCAGTTTTGATTTCTTCACTTCAAATATACTATGCATAAACAATGAAAACCCAATTTAGGTGAAGTTTATTTGTATAAGGCTTTTCCATAATAACATATTGTTTCAGAAAATGCAATCCATTCCAATCCATTAATTAACGTCTTGTGATGCCAAAAGCTGCATGTTTGTAATAAACAAATCCATCAAGACGTTTTTAACTGCAAATCGTTGCTTCTGGCTAAAATATGAGTCCTCTATCTATAATACTGCTTTATCAAGTGAAAAAGTCATCTCGTCTGAATCAGGAGAGAAATATGCACAGATCAAGCACTTTTTACAAGTGAAAACAGTCCAAAATAATTCTAAACAAATATGTTTGTGGACTTTGATGTGAGAGGAAAACAGAGGATGGACTTTCTTGCTGTCGGAAGCGGATTATGAATAAGTTAAAATGCCTTAAGAATGGATTTGTTTAGTACAAACACACAGCTCTTCACTTCACTATTTCTTTAAAGAGCATGATGGACTGTAGTGTGATATAAGGTCTGTTAAATACAAAGGAATAGTATTTTATAGTCGATACTGAACGTAATCGGTGGCCAGTGTAGAGATGACAACAGTGGGGTGATATGATCATATTTTCTTGGCCGGATAAGAATGATAGCAGCTGCATTTTGGACTAACTGTAGTGTGTTGAAGTAATGCCGTAAATGCAGGGAGCTGAACCTTATGCCGGTTGTGTTGTGTCGTACAGTTTCATGTCCTGCAGAGGGAAATTGAAAACAGGAATTTGGAGATCGAGAAGCTGAAGCAGGAAGTGCAGAAGCTGCAGTCGGTGATCAAAGCACTAGAGAACGACATCACTGGGCTGAAGACTGCAATTCAGAAGAGAGATGGGATCATACAGGACAAGGTGAGAACATATGAACCCTGTTCATGACGACTTGAGGAAAACCAAGTCAAGTAAGTCCTCTGTATTCCTGTTCATTTTACGACATTTAGCTGTCTAAGCAGTTATTGACAGATTTTAAAATGCCAAATTCACTCCCTCAGAAACCTATTGACTTCAGGATGATGAAATTGAAGTTCAAAAATGCATTATAAGGTTTCATTCCGGCAGCACCTGATTTAGGGGAAAATGTGCATTTGAAGTAAACCTGGTCGATGAATGTATTATGGATTGAAAATCAATCACAGAGCCTTAATTAGTTTAATTTATATGGGCAAAAACTGATTTAGTATTGTCTCCATGCCATCTGAAAGACTCCAGATCAGATACATGAACTCAGAGTCAGTATATTTAAGTTTCAGTTACTAGGGAACAGTACATGAGAGTAAAATCTGTTCTGTCTCAACAGGAAAAGAGCATCTATGAGCTGAAAAAGAAGAATGACACACTTAACAAAACAATTGAAGTGATGGAGTTCAGGGCTGAATATATGGAAGAGCAGATTGAGCCAAAAGAGAACGAAATCCAAGAGCTGAAGGAGCAGATGCTGGAGGTGGGCCATGTGTCATCCCTTCAAGTTGCCATGTTTTATTCAGCCCTTTCTGCCTGAGCCACATCATTTTGTGCACTATATTGCTGCATTATCAAACCTAAAAAGTAACATTCATTAATAACAAAAACAGATATGATTCATAATAAATGTCACAGAACATAGTCACATATGTAAATAAAAATCACTTTACATAAACGAGATGAGTGTTATGAACACAGTGTGATAAAAGATGTGTGTTTCAGATGGAGGTAGAGTTGAAGGAGTTCCATAAGACGAACACACAGCTGGAGCTGAAAATTGCCGAACTGACCTTAAAATTGAAAACCAAAGACAAAGAAATGCACAAAGAAATGAGGAAGGTTAGTATGTGTACTGCACTGGACATCTTCAGGGTTCACACCGGCAGTCATTTACACTGGCACAACAGGTCTCCATGTCACTGTGCTGTTGGTTTCAAGTAGACTTTGCTACTCGACAGATGAATGATGATTTATTAAATTTAGAACCTTCTGTCATCACAATTGCTTAGTGATCATAGATACTACCCATGTACATTTACTACATTGAATATTTCCTTTAAAGGAATAGTTCACCCAAAAATGAAAATTAGCCCATTATTTACTCACCCTCAAGTCATCCTAGGCGTATATGACTTCCTTCTTTCAGATGAATCCAATCAAAGTTATATTAAAAATTGTCTTTGATCTTCCAAGCTGTTTAATGCCACTCATTTACGCTTTATTTCACTTCTTTTGGACTGATGAACTACTGCAACAACCGCTGACTGCCATTAAACAGCTTGGAAGATCAAAGCCAATTTTTATTATAACTCCGACTGGATTCGTCTGAAAGAAGAAAGTCATATACACCTAGGATGTCTTGAGGGTGAGTAATTCATGGGCTAATTTTCATTTTTGGGTGAACTAACCCTTTAAAGGAATAGTTCACCCAAAAATGAAAATTTGCTGAAAATGTACTCACCCTCCTCAGGCCATCCAAGATGTAGTTTGTTTCTTCATCGGAACAGATTTGGAGAAATTTAGCATTACATCACTTACTCACCAGTGGATCCTCTGCAGTGAATGGGTGCCGTCAGAATGAGAGTCCAAACAGCTGATAAAAATCACAATAATCCACAAGTAATCCACACCACTCCAATCCAGCAATTAATGTCTTGTGAAGTGAAAAGCTGTGTGTAAGAAACAAATTCATTGAGACGTTTTTAACTTCAAACTGTGAAGTTTCAAACCAGCTAAAATGTGAGCTCTCTATCCATAATATTGCTTTCTCCAGTGAAAAAGTCAGCTCGTCTGAATCAGGAGAGAAATATGCGGAGATCAAGCACCATTTACAAGCAAACACAGTCTAAAACAGTTCTAAACCAATGGATTATGGACTCTTAATAAATCCTAATGAGAAATCTGTTTCACATAAACACAGCTTTTCACTTCACAAGACATTAACTGACGGACTGGAGTGGTGTGGATTACTTCTGGATTATTGTGATGTTTTTATCAGCTGTTTGGTCTCTCATTCTGACGGCACCCATTCACTGCAGAGCATCCATTGGTGAGCAAGTGATGTAATGCTAAATTTCTCCCAACTCTGTACTGATGAAGAAACAAACTCATCTACATCTTGCATGGTCTGAGTTTGAGTAAATTTTCGGCAGAATTTCTTTTTTGGTGAACTATTCCTTTAATGAGTTGTAAATTATAAAATCAGTTGGTCACTAAGATTTATTACAAACTTAATACATAAGTATGCAGTTATTTACTAAAAACAATTAAGGATTCAGTTCTGTCTAAATAATTAAAAAAGATAAAATCCTAAAAACTCAAATTAGCTGTGTTAATAAATACAAGTGAATTTAGCAACAAATTATGTATATTATACATTTTAATGTACAGTACGAAAAATTTGAAAATAATAAAAAGCATTATTTTTGAGATTTACTTTTTAGGTTACATTTAACATTATTTATTTATTTATTTGTTTGTTGCTTTTTGTTTATTGTTTTTAATTGACATTTAAATACCAATACCCTAGTTTCACTATATTTCCTAGACAATGACTGGCCTGCTGTCGTCTTCTCCTCCAGGTGCAGGACATTGGGGTTCTGGTACAGAGATTTAAAGCTGACCTTCACACATGTGTGGAATTCATTCAGGACCCAAAGAGATTAAAGGAACACATTCGAGAGCTCTATAAATGCTACGTTCAGCCATCAGATGTGGTAAGATCAATACATTTTGGTCATTATTCGTGCTGTTTTGATTTCCAGTGAATGGAGCTTGTGTGGTGTGTGACTGTAGGTAGAGAAAGTGGCGGTGGACACAGATACCCAGAAGGAAAACCACAGACAGAGGGAGCACTACGAGATGATTATCACCACACTGAAGAACCAGCTCACCAGGGACACAAACGTCTTCCAGGTCAACAATACAAAGCTCATGAAGGTGAGAGAAACAAGTAACAATGTGCAGTTAATGTGGAAATTAGTATCTTTAGTCTCAGTCAGTAAAACTGACCTGACAATTGGACATGTGCAAGTAGAAGTATGGTACTTGAAGAAATTGAAGATTTCTGAAGACGTTAATAGTACTTATAATACCTATTAGATTATACAAAGTCATAGGAGATAAAGATTCCAGTATATCAGAATCCAAAGGTTATTTTATTCATACTATGAGGGGAGGAGATGGAAGCAGTAGTATGAGTGTTTCACCTTCAGTATTCCTTCAATCACTGCTTCTGTTTGTGTGAAAGATCTCACATCTGTCATCTGTATCCAGGACAACGTCATTCTTATGAAAGAGATCAATGATCTGCGTCAGGAGCTGCGCGCTGTCCGTATGCAGCTGCACAACTATGACAGTCAAAGCAGCTTTAACAAGAACAACAAGAGCTCTGCTAACACGAGAGGTGACCAATGTGAAATCTGGGTTTTGAATAAACCTGGATAAACATGGACCATGATATCATTGGTGTTCATGTTGGAGGTTCTCAGCTGCATTTCTTTCATGCTTCAGGTGCAGCTTCAGCAGGGAGGAACGGCTTGATGACGCAGCAGAGTTTAGAAGAAGCAGAGAAGATCATCCAGTTTCAGCGACTGGAGATCCAGAGGCTCAAGCAGGAGACTAACGGCCAGATGCCCTCATCCAGAACCAAACTACCACCGCTCACCAACTGAATGCCCCTCTTGTGCTTCATGCATGAATAAAGCATCAAATATAAGTCATAGATTCTTTATGAATCAATGATGAAGAACATGACCAGATTTAAAATGTTTCAGATATTAGCTCATTTAGGGCTTTTTACAATTACTTATTGAAATTCCTGTATGAATGAGATTTGTACAGAATATGTTGCTTCCAGAGTGCTGACAAATTACACAGAACACAGAGCAAGTTCTAAATGATCAGCCATTTATATCAAAAGAATAGAATGTAATGCAATTTAAAAACAAAGAGAAATTCATTTGTAAAACCATGGTACGCTTACAGTATCTCCTAAATTTAATATAATTAGTTTGCACAGAAATCTGTGATTTCCTAAATGATTATACATCATTAAAAAGTACCTTGATTTTTATCAATCCTAATGCATGTTTGTCAGTTGCCAGTTACCAGGCATGAGTAAATATTGCTGTCCAATTAAAATGAGAAGACAATGGCCTATCACATTATATTAGAATTTTTTTTTTTTTTTTTGCTTGTACTTTTTGTTGAACTGTAAAAGTCACTAAAAGTAATTTTCAAACAAAATTGACTTTTTGGAGTTCAGTGGTCTTTTATTTTTCTGTGATGAACAATGCTTTGCTGCCCTGTTTCGGCCTGGATAATTTTATACGATAAGATTGAAAATGAATAAGTTGACGTGATAAAATTACAAACCTTAAAAGTTTTGATTTTTGTTTAGTATTTCCATACTGAATACTGAATCCATATTGTTCACATTGTTCTATACTACATGCGTGTAATGGCGTCATAATGGACAGATTGAGCTGCAGTTACAGTGGATGTTCATTTAATTGTTCCTGAACGTTCTACTACTGTTATAACGTCATAACAGTGCTGTAGTCTACTTCTCTTGTGCGACTGGGACGAACAATGTTTCTGTCTTCCAATGAAGGTAAATCTTTACAGAAATACATAAAATCAATTTATGTTGAAATGAATATCACAAAAGCATATTACTGAAACTTATCTGTTCCTTGTTGTGCAGGACACTTTCCATCTGCATGCTGCTGTTTGAGAAAGGTCACTGAACACAAGTTAATGAACACGGTAAGTTCAGTAACCTACATTTTTATTCCATAATCTGAATCTGAAAATTGTATTAGCACATGTTAAAGTGCAGCTTGGATCTTTTGCCTGAAAAATCTGTATCACTGATACTGGTCTACTGTTTATGTCTGTGAATGAATGACTCTCTCGGCCTACATGAGCTGCTGGACCACACTGATGAATGTGTGAAGAAGAGTCATGTGACAGGAAACAAATGAAAGGTAGTTACAGTTTGCTTGTACTACATTGTACTACTTTTATGACAGAAGGGTTATGTGCAACTAACTGGGACATATAAGGTATCTGCCAGTCTTTGTAGGAAAATATCTATAGAATGCACAAATATATAAAAACGATTACGTTATATGATTAACTAACATTAATAAATGCTATATAATTATTGTTCATGTTAATGTTAATAACTGAAACCTTATTGTAAAGTTTTATATATTGTTCTGTGTGTATTTGTTTCACACTCTTGATGTTTTGGATTAACCCTTTCATTAACCCTAAAGGGACATGGTGGTGGAAAAACATTCGGTGGGGGGAAAAAATATTTTTCAATTTTTTTCCGTTCCCTCGCAAAGATATTTGCATTCCCTCACAAAACTTTTGCGTTCTCCCGCAAAGCTTTTGCATCCCCTCGCAAAGATATTTGCTTTCTCTCGCAAAACTAGTTGAGTTCAGACAAACACTTCCTGTTTATTTTACAGCTTGTAGTGGTTCATACAGCTCCGTGCGTTCATAATGTAGCAATTTATAGAGTTTTATTTTGAACTTGGACTCAAGTATAAAGAAATAGTCAACAACAACAACATTTATTTATAAAGCACATTTAAACACAATATAAATTGATCCAAAGTGATGTACAGTGTACAAACAAATCTACTAATAAAAACAACAGCTACACACATACAAAGGCTAAAGAGTAAAAATAAGACTGAAGTGTAGACTTAAAAATGTCCAGAGAAGGAGCAGATCTCACATGATAGGGCAGACTATTCCAAAGCTTTGGGCCAACCACAGAAAAAGTCAGATCACCCTTTGATTTGTACCGACACCGTGGCACAGTTAGAAGCAAGTAACTTGAAGATCTAAGTGCCCTAGCAGGACAATATGGCACAAGAAGTTCAGAGATATAACTTGGTGCACAACCAGACAAAAGCATTTTAAAAACAACCCTGAATTTAACGGGAAGCCAATTAAGGGATGATAAAACATGGAAAATGTGATCCCTCTTTTTAGACCCAGTCAAAAATCTTGACGCAGCATTTTGAACAGCTTGCAATCGTGACAATGAAGATTGAGGAAGACCAGAATAAAGAGAGTTACAATAATCCAATCGAGATGTAACAAGTGCATGAATCAAAACTTCCATATCCTCCCTTGAAAGAAGATGCTTCAACTTTGCAATAGATCTCAAATGGAAAAAAAAACTTGCTCTAATAACAGCACTAATTTGTTTATCAAAAAATAGAGAAGTAATGCGTGCATTAGTTGAAAGTGGACCTAACTGAGCTTCCAAAGCAGGAGACAAGTGTGCAGGACTATCAAATATTAAAACCTCAGTTTTATAATCATTTAACTGCAGGAAATTATTAGACAGCCATGTCTTAATATCATGTATATATTTAAATAATACATCAAATGAAACAGCAGTATCAAACCTTACTGGTAGATAAAACTGAGAATCATCTGCGTAACAATGATATGAGATACTGTATTTTTGAAAAATGTGGGCCAAGGGAAGCATATAAAGGGAAAACAGTAAAGGTCCCAAAATGGATCCCTGGGGCACTCCACACAAGACAGGTGCAGACTCCTGAATTTACAGAAAAAGTCCTGTCAGAGTTCAAGGCACGGTTTTGGGACATTCTAAAATGCTTAATGTGGCTTAATGTACTAAAACAGTGACATTGGAGGCTCAAATTCGGTATTAATAAATACTGTTAATACTAATACAAATTTTAATATGAATAACCTTATTAATAATATAACTATTAATGAAGCAGAAGAGCCATGAATGCAACGTGCTAATGCACATTAAGCTTTTTCTCCCCCATAGAAAACACTTAAGGTAGGCTAATGGACCAGGATGGTAATATTAAAAGACCAAATCTGGTACACAGTTTATTAATTAAATATATTACGCACAGGAAAGCAGACAAGCCCAGAATATGCATGGAACGTGCAAAGTTCACGTGTTTTCTCCCCTGTAGAAAAACATAAACTCTTAACGTGGCTTAATGGATTACTGCATGCTTGCCTGTACATAGGCTATAGTATATATTTTTAATAAAATATAAAATTTGGGCTTTTTATATCACTGTCTTCTTGCTGTCTTTTTACTATCAACTTCTGACATGAGTTAGCATTTGTTAATCTATTTCAGTTCATATATTATCCTGTATGAAGGAGGTTTATGAAGAATAGCATGCCACACATGCTGTTCTGGACAATCAGCACATATAAACACTGAGAAGAGGAGCTCTATTGTTGCAGAAGCGAAGTAAACTTATGTCATGTGAATGACACCATCCTAACAGTCACAAAAAGTCCATTATGCTGCAGGCGTGACATCAGAGATTCACTTGGTGGGATGTTCCTCTGTAAGTCCCTCCAGTTGGCCTATTGTTTTTCCCTCAATGCCTTGAAAGACATACTTGCTTTTCTGTGTCAGTCATTCTGCCTGCTAGGCGTGCACATGTGTGAGAGTGAGCATTTGTGTGTGTTCTCCGTTTGCGGACATGCTGTTTAGTGTCACAAAGAAGACAATGAGAAACCTTTTATTGTCCTGGTGGAATGTGGCAGGAGAAGACAACGGGGGAGTATGTCATCGTCCCGAGTGCTTGGCACCAGTGTCCAGTCGGCTTGCACCATGACACACCACAGCATGAGAGAGACAGGTAAACAGAAAGGCAGAAAGAAAGAGAGACGTGACAGTAAACAGTCCTGCACTACTGCCAAGATAAAGGAGTTTGAGGATGGTAGGATGGTGTGTTTCTTAAAATTAAACTTACTAAAATGCAGCTTTTTAAATCGGGACCATCTTTTCCACAGGAACGAATGACTGTTGTTCAGGACACATGATCACGTTTGTGGAAATTTCATGATTTAAAAGTTTGAATCTGAATCAAGGATCAGAAACATGCACTGACGAAAGGTGAGGAAACTTTATTAGTTGCAACTACTTTCATTAGTTATAACTACTTTATGCAAATGTGATGATAACTAGCTTTTATTGAATTTTCTATGATGAAATCAGTCTGATGAATCCTGCACTTAATCAAAGTAGTTACTGAATCATCTGACTCCGTGAATGAACTGCAAGTTATTAATTTCAGTGATATATGTCTTAAAATACAGCAAATTTTGAGTACTTAAAGTCAGTTTTATTACTGACAGGTTGTTGATAATGTGTAGACAAAATTACATATTTGCAATTTGAATTTTTATTTGTTCGTATTAATTATATTTAAAAAACATTTTTAAAAATACATATCACCCTTTTTTGCCAGTGTTTTTTTTCCAGATATTTTTACACAAAATTTAAAATTCAAAGATTTAAAATTCAAAATAACCATTTTTTATTTCCAAAATGATAACTGGATGCCACTCTGTAAATTAAAAAAGTCATTTGACAACAATGTAGCATACTATTGTTTAAAATGTTAAACATGTAAATATGCATACTGATTTACTTGGGCCTACTATTTGTAAAGTGTAAGCTAATATACACATACTGTAGATTATTCAATTCCAGAGTATTCCGTTTCAAACATGGTCCATGTTTTCGTGACAACCGTTCAAAAGAACAAAGTATTATGGTTTTGTTTTATTTGTGATGTTTGTTTTTTCTTTGTACTAGTTTTGTTTTGTCTGCTGTGAAGAGTTCAAATAGACTTGTTCGGCAATGCTGGGAACGCCCACAAAAACGTCATAACCGTTTATGCCGTGGGGGAAAACAAACCATTCGAATTAACGCGCGAAGACCTTGTTAGGCGCTTGATCTTTACTTTTTGTGATGATTTTGGTTGATTTTTGCTTGGTGCAATGTCGAAAAGTTGCTGCGTGGCGTTCTGTACCTCTTAATAAGTTAAAGAAACCCGATCTGAAGATTTATATGCCGAATAAACAGACTGACTACCAGAGGTAGCACTGAGCGGGTAGCACACACATTATCAGAACTCCGAAAGTAGT